ATATAAATAATTTCTAAATTTTTAATTTAAAGAAAAAATTCAAAAACAATAGTTATTATAAAATATAAATAATAGTAATTAATTATTATATTATAATTTTTTTATTTTTTAAGATAATATAAATAAATATATAAATAATTTCTAAATTATTAATTCAAAGAAAAATTTTAAAAAGTGACAATTATTATAACACAAAAACCAAAAAAAAAAAATTAAAAATGAAAAACTTTGCCATCAAAACTCAAAAGTACTTTGTAAAGATTAAATGTGAAATTTAGTTTCTCACCTTTTAATTATAAGTAATTTTAGTGCCTGAATTATTTATATATATTTTTTGTTCTTTAATTAATTTTTTCAGTTAAGTTTGTTCAGTTGATTTTTTAAATTTCTTTTAATAACTTAAATGTGTATAAAATAAAAGTATAAGACAAAAAAAATACAAATTATAAATATATAATAGACAAAACTAATAAAATAATAAAAAAATGTTGCAAAAAGTCAGGACTATCTCGATAGTCATAATTTTTTGTTTTTTATAATAAAAAATACATTTATAATAGTTAAAAGATGAAAATAAATAAGAAAATAATTAAAAACAAAAACTATTCAAAGTTAAAAGGTTAAAACTTCATAACTAGATATGGCGTTTAGCCTTCCTAAAATGATACCCCTTTCATTTAGCTTGCACAGTTTTAATTTAATTTTTTAACTTTTTAAACATAATTGTAGGTGAAAATTGAACTACACACATATAGTTTCTATTGAGTAGTGTTATTTGATTAAAAAGTCTTGGATTTTTTAAATTAGTTAAAGGTATAATTAATATAGTTTTTTTACATTAATTAGTATTAAAAATGATAAAAAAAATAATATTAATTTCTTCACATATTATGTAAATTATTTTAATTGACAATAAATTAAATAATAATCAACTTTATTTTTTTTAATATTAATTAATATCAAAAAATATTTTTAACATATATTTTAGAAGCACAAGTGCAAAAAAATTTAAAAATCTTTTAATTGTCAAAATTTTTATTTGAAAATCATATTTGAAAAGCTAAAAAAAAAGAGTGAAATTAGGATAATTAAAAGTAGTAATATGGGAACTATCAACAAGAGTTTAGCTAATTTTATAGCCACTAAATTAAAAACCTTAATTTGAGATCAAATTCAAAGTTTCAAAACTATATAATATTAAATAGAAAATCTTCTAATGTTAAATATAGTAAGACTACTGATATATGAGTATTTGATTTGAAATTTACAAATGGTTGTTAATTGTTAGTTTTTATTAAATAAATTAAATATTTTAAATTATAAATAATTATAATTTTTAATCGATAAATACTAACTATTATTTACATTTAAACAATTAATTCAAACATCTAATGGTTGATAAAACTACTAATAGGTGATAAAACTACTAAGATGTACGCGTTTCACTTTCTGATTAATTACAAGTTATGTAAAAAAGGTGGTGATATGAGAATAATTTTTTTATATTATTTTTTTATATAATTTTTACATATAAATAAATAAATAAATAAATTTAATATTATAAATTTTACATAAATTAAAAAAATAATCATTTTAATGATATATTAAATTATAAAAATAAAATAAAATAAAAAATTATATAAAAATCATTTTCCTATAAAAAACTACTGAGAAGTCGTCCCTCTCAGCCATCCTGCACAACTAACCTCAAGATATATATATACATATATAAAATAGTATTTATCCATTTACCTTTTAAAAATAAAAAAATATATAATATATTTTTATTTTTTTTAAAATTTTTTCAGTGGTAAGAGAGACCACTACCAATCTTTTTATATATATATATATATATTTTCTTTTCCAGAAATTTCTCCAATTTCCGTCCTGCCGACTTTTCCTCAATCCGAGCTTTCCCCACACGTGATTCAAAAATCCAAAATTAACAACTTTTTATTAGAAAAAAATTAGAAAAATGAATTATTTATACATATGCGGAAGTAATCTAACTGAATTATCATTCCTTTAGAGGGACAAAAGTCAAAGGAAAGATTGGAGCTTTCTATTTATTTATTTCGGTTAATTCCTTGGAAAAACTAGAGAAAAAGGACTCTTCTTTCTTCCTGTTTTTTCCTCACCAATATACAACGGGGAGAAGCAAGGCATATTCTGGTTGTACGGGTAGAGGCTTCTGTCGACGATCATCTACATTTGGGTTTTCCACTGTAAGCCCAAGAACCCATCTTTATATTTTTCCTAGAAATCGACCCATTTTCCTATTTTATTGCATTTGTAATTCCATGTTAGCTTTCCGGGGGAAAAACCCATCTAAAGTAAGGAATCTTTGTCTCATGGTGATATATATTAGTGCTGTTTATATTCCTTACTTCAGTGATAAATTTCTTTATGAAGTGGTGGTTACTGGCTTTGGTGGGGGGTTTGGATATTTGATTCTGATTACCTCTAGTTGAGGCTCACTTAGTTTGCTTCAACAATTTGCTGTTCTTGTTATTTCATTTTTAGTTTTTGACATGTTCTTTCTCAAAATTTGTTTATGGGGTTCATTGATTGTTTTTACTGACTTGAATGTTGGAGGTTGCTCTTTGATTGTTTTTTCCCTTACAAATTCCTCCCTTTTTATTTTCCAATGATTTCTTGAACTATTTTCATTTTGACAGCAATGGTTCCGTTAAGAGGGAATGAATGGGAAGAATAAGGGCTCTGGTAGTCAGAATACTGTAATTTTAGACAGTGAGATATTAGGCCTCCCTAGTTTTAGCTTATTCAGCATGCATCATATTTTAAAAAGATTTCTTTTCCTTTTAAGACATTAAAACTTTTTTGTACTAGAATGACTTTTGGATGTAATGCATTCAGCTTATCTCATTTTAAGATTCACTCTTTGATTTGAGCCTCAACCCTGGTAATTCAGTTGCATGGTTGGTGGAGATTTTTAGTTGTTCCCCAACATTGGGCATTGCAATATGAATCAAAATATGTTGAATAGTGGAACAAGTAGGAATAATATCTTGAGTTTCTTAACAGGATCCTCAGCACATACTTGGCACCCCGTCATGACTGCCGATACAGCCACCCTAAGTTACTGGTTGAACTGGAGGTTCTTCCTATCTGCTGTATTTGTCTTAATCTCTTTGGTTCTGTCGGCAATTTTGATATGGAAATATGAAGGTCGCAAAAAGTCTGGACCTCCAGAGAGTGAAAATCAGCAAGCCCCAGGGTCTTTGTGTGAGGATGAAGCTTGGAATACATGTCTCAAAGAAATCCACCCTGCTTGGCTGCTTGCTTTTCGAGTGTTTGCTTTCATCGTACTTTTGTCATTGCTTACAGCCAATGTTGTCATTGATGGAGGTGGCATATTTTATTTTTATACTCAGTAAGTGATGCTCCCTTTAAGCTTTATTTATTCTTATATCATACATAACAAATTTTCAATATAAAGGAAAGCTAATTGGGTTTAAAGCAGATTGCCTGAAAGATGTCCTGTTTAAAGAACATTTCTGTGACCTGATGCTTGTCTCTCTGTTCATAAAATTTCATGCCTATTTTTGGTCTGATATTACATATGATTCCAGCTTTACATATAATATCCAGCACGAATTCTTGCTTTCTTGAGGTGTGCTGGGTGCCACACTGCCACTCATTTGAGAATAATCTTACTTACCGAATTTCCCCCTTTAGTCTTACAATCCACACTCGTTTAGCTTGCTTACAAACAGCTAATGATGTGGTTCTGTTCATGACAGTAAGCATGGCATCAGTCTATAACCATACATAATAATATATCATCCACATTTATTAAGAGATATCTTCTGGCAGTGTTGAAATTTGATCTACAGCTTGCATGTTGATCCTTGTCATTATTAACCATTTCATTTGACTTTCATTTATTTATTTATTCTTGGTGCTGAGCAGGTGGACATTTACTTTGGTTACAATCTATTTTGGGGTATGAATTGTACTGCTTTCTCCTTCTTTATTGATTTTTTGAAGAATATTAGAATAGTAGTCCCTCATGTTTCAAGTTGCTTGGGTGTTCTTGTGCTCTCGACTGCACTTGTAGTTTGGATCTTCAATCTCCATTCATCAATGTTGCAAAAACTGGGATATTGTTAGTGGTGATCAGGCTGATCATGCAAGCTTAGATTCAGAACGAGGAAGTTATGTACCTCCTTTACTGAGGGGCACTGTAGATGAATCCCACTCCACCTTATCCAAAAGATTGAATACCTATGAGGAATCTCATGGTCGCCAAAAAGCTGGTCCCTGGACTTATGCTTTTCAAATCATGTATCAGGTGATTTTATACTCAAAACTGTTTCTGTGGAATGCTGGTAGTTCTTGTGCTGAACTCTACTTTTATGGTTTCTCTTTTTGAACTCCCAAGTTCACCTTTTATCTTCATCTCCCAGACTATGCTATCTGGTGTTCTGTTGGTGCTCTATTAGTTTTCTCAGCCGTGATCTCTGATTTAAACTGCATATATATGGAGAAATGAACTTAAATTTCAAAATGATCCTGTAAATTCTAAACAAAACAACATTTTTGGAAATTGTTCTTCAATAACTAAGGTAAGGATGACCATCAAGTAGAATGTGGCTATTGCAAGAACTTTTAGCTATTGGTGGGCAAATGATGCTCAGAAGTTTGAAACAGAGTAGCTTGTGAAAATTGTTTTTCAAATTCTTGCATGTTGTGTGTGCATGCACTTCAATCATGAAGATACCTGTTAGGCTCTTCAATAAATCTGTAGATGGCCAAACAACTTCCAGCACATGAAAGACTGGTTCATGTCTAAACAAGTGGCTCATACCAATGGCCTCATGACATAGAGAGCCATCATCTTTCGTGGCTTTACCTTTTAGATATTATAGGTTGAGAGTTTTAATATTTGGGTGAATTAGTATTTTTCTGTTAACGATTTCTTGAATAAGATGATTACATTTTGCTGAAGTTTTCACTTTTATGTGCACCTATCACTGAAGTGCAAAGAATATATTTTTGAGTGCACATAAAAAATATATGTATTAAGTGAATTTTTATCAATTTTGACCTCCTGTTTTTTTTTTTGTTGAATCCTTCAATAGGTTTGTGCAGGTGCAGTAGTGCTCACTGATTGTGTATTTTGGCTTATTCTCTATCCGTTCCTAACATCAAAAGATTTTGGTTTAGATTTTGTAAGTATGAGGATATGAGCTCCATTATCCGCCTGGTTTATTTTCTTGTCTTAGTTGATCATTAACTATCTGTGCTTAACATAAAACCCCATTTGTTCCATTTACTATATTCAACAAAGAATTATCTTGCATTTACTTTAGTCTAACTTATGTGACAATGTCATAATCAAAGGATAGCTCTTACCGTATTTGATATAAGGGATACTATAAGTTGAATGAGATTGGATGCACCACACTCAAAACTAAACCTCAAAATTTGTTCAAACAGGGGATACCTTCAAAGAGATCTTTGAGGCTGTTGAAAGGCGCCTTTTTTATGATTCATTTTGGTACTAGGTGTCTGACAGGGGTTAGCCAATGAAACTTGAAACTGCATCCTTAAATTTATTTCCTCCATACGAGAATAAAACCTGCAGAGAATTCACTTGTTATTGCCTTTGAACTTCTACCCTTATTAGAGTGTAACATTTATTTCGCCAAAATTTTTACCTAGATGTGTTTACTTCCTCAAATCATTGAAAAACTGCTGTGATGTCAGTTGAGAAGTAAATCTTTATTTTTTTAAATGATATCCTACCTTATCCACTTAATTTTACTACCAACTCAAGGAATAATGGATGGCAAAGCTCTAGCAATGTTTTTCTGATGTTACCATTTTTTATCATCCTTACATGTAAGAAGAGTTGAATTGCAGATTCTGTATTAGTCATCTATTTAAGATGTATATTTACACTTTCAATTGCAGCTGATTGTCTGTATGCATTCAGTAAATGCTGTATTCCTGCTTGGTGACTCAGTTTTGAACTGCATGGTAAGCATTTTTTTCTTATGGTTTCAGCAGTTTTTCAGTTTTCCAATACCTTCTGATCAGTACCAAATTACCTTTTCCTTGCAGCGATTCCCTTTGTTTCGTATTGCTTATTTTGTGTTATGGACGGGTATATTTGTCATATTCCAATGGATCATCCATGCATGCATCAACCTTTGGTAAAGTTACATTCTCCCCTACTATTTCACCTATTGAAGTTAAATACCTTCAGTTTATTCTTATTAGGTCAATACCCCTCTGCAGGTGGCCGTATCCATTTCTTGACTTGTCATCCGACTATGCTCCCCTATGGTATGTATGTAATCCTTGATTAAATAATACTGTTGTTAAACGTGTTTGCATGAAGCATTTACATCAAGTTTGTACTTAAAACAGACACAACTAACTTAAGAATGGTTAAGTGAACTCACTGAGATATGCATTCTATTGTTAATGACTCTTGGTATTGTGGGATTTGCAGGTACCTTGGGGTAGGATTGATGCATGTCCCGTGTTATGGCATCTTTGCTTTAATAATTAAATTGAAGAACTTCTGGTTTTCACGGTCGTTCCCTGAGTCTTATAGAAGATTGAGGTGAGATAAGTTGTTGGTTATGGTTTGCCAGTTGCTAATGAAATTGGAAGCTGGAGAGAACTGATTTCCATGCAGGTATAATATGATTATATTTGCATAGAAATTGTCAGTAGACGATGATACACAATTGTTTCAACTTGGAATTCCAAGTATGCTGACTGTCGCTTATGGTGTGTAATGGTTACTTAATGCCTCCTGTTGAGTGGTCATTACACATGCTAATGTGTCAGTGTCGTGCAGATGTCGAAATATTTGGGCATCCTAAACATTTACTCCCTTTGTTCATTTTTATTTTTCAGTGAATTTAGTTTAATTTTTTGATTTTTTAAATTTAGTTTTTAAATAAAAATTTAATAATTTATGTGAACAATAATTAAAAGTTTTTTTTTTCTTCTTATCTAAAGTTTTTGTTGAGTACTATAATGTGATAAAACAAAATTTTAATTATCATTTATATAATATATTAATTTTTTATTTAAAATTTATATATAAAAGGTTAAAAAGTTAAATTAAGTTTATAAAAAATAAATGGAAGGAGTATAATTTTGTAGATTGAAGGATTAATTGTTTATTGTTTCAAAAATTTAAATCTCTTACATTGACTTCAAATTAAAAATTTTGAGTCAGTAGAAATATAATTATGATTACTCATTATTTTGTTAAGACTATTTAAAAGTTTTAATTTTATTAATATTTTATTTATTTATCATTTGTTTCTTAAACATTTAATTATAATATTTAAAAATATTAATTTTTAAGTTAATTTTAATCTATTAAATAATAAATCTAAATTATTTTATCAATTAATTATTTTTAACAATCAATTTAAATATAACCATAACTAATGAGTAACTATAAGTGCACCTACTTGGGGGTGTACCCTAAACATTTAATTGAAACAGATCATATCAAGGTAAGTAAAACCATGAAATTACGCAATAGATATGAAATACGCATGCAGTCAAATAATCGTCTTAATTTTCATTCGAGTTTGATTGTTATCAATAAGGCAATAACCGTCTCACCTTCCCAATATTTTAACCCATTGACCACAGAAGGAACACAAACCTGAAACGATTTTCTGCCTGAGTGACTACAATTTTTTCTCCTCATTGACTCAAGCAAATATAATGGTTTCTCAGAGCTTCTTATGGTCCTTAAAACTTTACCAGAGAACTACTAAATGCAGTTTTCAACATGGACATGGACATTAAAAATTGCAAGAGTGTACTAGACTAGGGCTTCACATGTTCTCTGATAAATTGCTCCACCTGAGCAACCTCGCCTGTCAAACCAGAAGCTTCAGCAACGGAAACTTTGTTGTTGCATTGGGAGAAAGCAAAGGCTTCTCCAGGTACACCTAGAGTGAAGTCGTTTGCAATATCAGCATCAGACAATGCACTTCTTGATGCCCGCAGTTTGTCACTGTAAAACAATAATGAAAAAATAAATCAACACAATAGACAAATGTAAAAAGAATACATGCTTTACATAATGAAGATGGATCACATATTGCACGGCCAAGAATATTAAGAAATCAGCAAATCAAATAGAAATGGGTATCACATAGGTTTCCTTAGGATAATAACCAAATATGTGTCTGGTCATTGATATTGGGCAACAAAGCAACTAATCAGAAGAACTTGAGGCCATACATTTCCTTCTCAATTTGTTTTCTGATGAACTCCTTGGTATGTGCTGTCACTTTGTCAGTTTTGTTACAGCAGATGAGAACTGGAATTTTCTTTTTAACCACACTTGCATTGGTCAAAATATCATAGAGGTACCTGTTGCAGAAAAGTAATTAATTTTGTAAGTAATACATCTAGAGAGAGTTTTGGCTGTTAATGTGTTTGTGAAAAAAAAATAATAACAAAAAAACTAGAAAGTTTAGGTAATCTTACTCCGAAGCTAAACGGCAGTTTGGTAAGAATTCCAAAGCATCTACAACAAAAACTATGCCAGCTGCTTGAGGTAAAAACTCATCTAACTTGGGTCGGAGACGAGAATGGCCAGGAACATCAACTAGATGAACAGGTTTGATTTTGCCCTTCTGTCAAGGAGATGACAATAGAATAAATGAGAGATAGGCATCAATTCAAATTACGACAATGATGCAAAAGTCAACTCATTGATGATGACTGAAAGATGTAACTAATGCATATTCACATTTAGGAAGTGAATTGAGTAAGTAGGATGCCATGTTAATTGTTAAGGTGAGTCACCTTAGAGCTTTCAGAATGTAGGACAAAAGTGCCTTCGTTTGTTTCCATTGATGTGACAGTACCGAGATGTGAAGACCCATCCTGAAGCTGAATACAGGCATCAAACATGTCAAATCATCTTTAAGTTTCTATGTGCACGTAAAGTCATGCAATTGATGCTACAATTCAGAACTGCCATGTAGGCAAAACCCTATTAAGAAATTTAAAGGCGAGTGATTGCTGTATTATCATCACCTTCTTCACATTAACACATTTTATGCTAAAAAATAAAAAACAACCAATAACTGCAATATTCACTTGATAAGCCATTGTCATCACCTACTTCACATTAGCCCATTTTATGCCAATATTTTCAAAAAGAAAAAAACAAAACAACAAATAATTACACTCACTTGATAAAAAAGAGTTGTTTTTCCACTCCCAGTAAGGCCAGTGAGTACGATGGTGTTAGATTTTGTGCGCTTGAACAAGCGAACTGCAAGTGAAAGAATAATACAATGATAAGGAAGAAGAACTCAAAACATTAAAGTAAAAATTCAGAACACTAGATTGCCTTATAAGATATCGCAACGAAAAGGGACATCTGCATAAATAGGAATTCAAGATATTAATAAAACAGATCTCCAATTCAAGGATCGCAACCTGTAGTGGTCAAATTCAAGTCTCCAACTTTAAGTCTTTCCTAAACATGCAGTTAGTTCATCACTTTGACTAAAAGCAATTGTCTGGTTAAACACTCAACCCAAATTAGTCATTTTTAAAATTGCAAACTTCAACTCAATTCTACCTTGAAAAACAGAATTCTTGCTTTTCGAACATCGAGGCATAACTAGATGAAAAGGAAAAAAATAACAATTGAGGCATTACAAAGAATTCTAGGGGTGAACATTTACAAACTGATAGGGACTTACTGGAGATAACCAAAAGGGTAGTTACAACCAAGACAGCAATTGCAATGTACAGCTGAGTTGGGGGTATTTGCTGCGAATATTCAATTGCTTGATGCAGCCATTGCTCCAACTGATTCCTCCACACCTCCACTTGCTCTTTCCACGGTTCCATCCCTTCCATGGCCTGAATTTCAGCTTCTACGAGATACCAAACCTTATAAAAAAAAAAAACCCAAACTTTATCACAAACCCAGATCAAACAAACCCATCATCTGCAGAATTGACGATGAATTTGCCAAAAAGGACAAGATTTCAACCCAAATCTAGCCCAACCTTATGATAATTCGGAAACGAAGCTAGAAGGGGCTTCTCTGGAGCTGAATTGAGAAATATATGGTGCTGAATTTATTACAGAGCAAAGTTTGCGAGATGAAGCTAACCCTAAATGCAGCCAAAAGAATCCAATTTCACATGCAGAGATGGTGGAGGTGAAGAAGGCTGACCTGGGTTTGTCTCCTACTTCATGGAGCGAGATTTCTTCCAGCTATGGTCGTCTTCAAAATCTAGAGATCAAGATGGAATCGAACCCAACAGCAAGATTCAAGAAAGCCCTAAAAATTGAAATTGATCCAGTTCCAGATGGTTCCAAGACAAATCGGAATTTTTTTACAAAGCCCAAAAACTGTAAGCCCAGTACACATTAATCAGCCCTCAAAGTTTGCCCCAAGTTTCTATTAACCCCCAAAAGTATTTTTTTAAAGTCAATCTCCAATAAATCTCTATATTTGCCAACACTTAAGACATTTTAATGATAAATTTTTTCAATAAAAGTAAACACTATTGAATTTGAGTTGTAATGATGCAGGTGAGGAGGGTGAAGGGTGAGAGAGCTATATTTCTCAAAATCAAAATAATAATAATAACAAAAAATCATTTTATAATATAAAATAATTTAACACATAAGACAAAATTCGTTAATAACAATAATAAATCCCTATATTTCTTTATAGTGCTCAAATGCCTTTTTTTTAAAAAAAAAATTTTTGGGTGGGAGGAGACCTAATAAGCTCTCCAATTTTTACTCCAAATATGAACTTAAGTCATCGAAGAATTTTGTGAGTGGGAGAGATTGAAAATGGCCTCATGATTATTCTCCATGCCAAGCCACAATCAGGTGAGAAACGAAGGCAAAAAACAAGGTTGAAAATCCATTCTTTAATAACGCATAAAATGGAGGAGTTGACTAAGCAGCCGTGATGCCCAATTGGTACACTCCACATTTTAGGTGTTTGTGTTTGTGGTCATTGACTCATTGGTTGGGTGTTTCGTAGTATTTGGAGAAATTCTTTGATTTTCATTTTTCCACAATTTCCCATGTTCCAATAAAGTAACGGAGGACTTGACCATAATCGTTTTTTTTTTTATTTTTGGACAGAGGGAATGATTAGATTAATAATTTAGTATTTATTGTGAGAGAAAACAAAACTGAAATTAAGAATGCATTTCATCGTTATTTTTTTGAGCAACAATGGTTATTATTGGGCCACAACAAGGGAATATTGACCATATCCATTTTTATTTGTCAATTTGTGAATAAAGAATTAATAGAAAGAGAATGTTGTTGGGCATGGATGGAGTCATTGCCTCTTAATGTCATATAGAATAAATTATAATTTATTTTTTAAATTTATTTAATTTATGTTTTTAAAAATATAATAAATATATTTTTTATAATTAATTTATATAAAAAATAATAAAAATTATTTTTTATTTTAATGAAAATTTTAATTAGACAATTAATGTTAAGTGGATGTTGAAGTCAATTGAAAGAACAATATCTTTGCTATGAAGACTTATGCAACTATGTAAATTGCAAGGTATCTTGGCAAGGCTGAAAGCCCTGAATTTTTCCAACTTTTGAACCAGGGCGGAATTGGAATTTCTGCATAACTGCACAAAGTCTCTAAGACATTTTTTTTTAATCTATTTTAATTGCACAATAAGAAGCAGTCATCTCACATCTTTTATCCAAAGAGATGATCACTGAATTATTTAAGTCGTTGGTAAAATTTCTAACAGATATCTCAACAAATAAAGAGTTTGAACTTTGAACTTAAGTATAAAAAACTTAAATTTAAATTTTTAGACGGTGAGGGATAGAATTTAGAGGGATGCCATTCAAAAGGAAAAAATTTCAATAAGACTATAATACAAATAACAAATAAGAATAAAAACCAATGTATCTAGCTTGAAATAAGTAATTTCTTTGACAAAACTTTTCCATTCTGCCATCTGACCAAACCCTAATGTTATCTACAATATGGACGGTTGTTCATCTTTAAATACTTAGCGTAAATTGTAGGTTTTCTCTCTCTTTATGAAACCAATGATTATTTTATTTTATTTTATTTTAACTTTTAGTTTGTACAATTATAAGGCCAATTGACCCGAAAATTCTATTAATTTAAATTAAAAATCAATGTATTAAGAGAAGATAATATAATTTTTTTTTATAAAAATAAACAATTATATATATATGTAGCATGTTATAATCATAGAAGAGATAAATTAAAAAATTTTTAAAAAATTTTTACTTACAAAATAGTTATTTTATGTATCCATTGGTTTTTGAAATCAAAAACTACAAGTGATTACTATCAATAAAACCAAAGCTCAGTTTGCAAGTCAATTTGACCCCCAAATATATATATATATATATATATATAACAATTATTGTACGTGAATGGAGGTGATCCGTGACAACATCCATTTATTTAGTATCGAATAATTATCTTTTAAGTTAAATAATTTTTATTTTATAATTTAATTTTATTTGAATTATAAAATAAATTTTTTTTATAAAATTTATTGTAAAATTTTCATTTGTAAACAAAGTCAAAACTGTGGACGGCCCCATCCAATGGCTCCGGGACTCAAACTTAAATTAACTACTGCTTTAAAATTTTGATATTAACCTCTTACTATTTAAAAAATCACATTAAATATTAATTAATTTAAAATTAAATTATATTAAATTTATTAAAAAAATCTCTTCTTAAAATTTATCTTTCTATTCGTAGAAATGGAATCTAAAATCGGAATGGACCGTACGTGGTCGCTTGTGTCCGTTTCTCTTAAAGTTCCCGCTAAAAGGACTAGTAATGGAATCACGATGTCTGAACTCAAATCACTACTCAACTACTTATTTTTCAATGGGTAGGTGGGTTTCTCAGCTATAAATACGACAACCAAACACGCCTCAATTCGGGTTCCTCTTGTTGTAGTAGCTGTAACTACCCGCAACTGCTTCTCTTTCAACGGTGATTCCCATTTTCCTGAATTTTCTGTATCAAATTTTGATAACGTGTTTGGATTTTGGTCCCCATCTGGGTCTTTGGAAAGGTTCCTGAAATTTTGTTTGGTTTGGGATTTTCAGCGAACATATGGCACGCAAGAAGATCAGGGAGTATGATTCAAAGAGATTGTTGAAGGAGCACTTCAAGAGGATTTCTGGAAAGGAACTTCCCATCAAATCAGCTCAGGTGAGTGCATGCCTCTTCTGTTTTAGATTTCGTTCCAATTCATTTTGGATTTGTGAAACTTGATGGGGGGTTTCTGAAAGTTTTGAAATTTGAAGGTAAATTTGTGTTGGGGTTTTATTATTCATTGTTTATATATTGTAGGAGTAGCAAAATCTTGGATTGATTGATGGTTTATTTGAATATTAATGTGGGGTTGGATCTTGCTTCTTCATTAGGTTACGGAGTCAACTGATTTCAATGAGCTGGTAGAGAAGGAGCCATGGCTTTCCTCACAGAAACTGGTTGTAAAACCTGACATGTTGTTTGGGAAGCGTGGGAAGAGTGGTTTGGTGGGCTTGAATCTCGATTTTGCTCAGGTTGTTGCTTTTGTGAAACAACGCCTGGGGAGAGAGGTTTGTTTTCTGATCCCATTTGTAGTTTTGTTTGGCCTTCAGTTCAATTCATATAAACAAGATGAGAGTCTAGTTTACATGATCTCTCCTGTGGCTTACAGGTAGAAATGGGCGGCTGTAAAGGACCCGTCACAACATTCATTGTTGAACCCTTCATCCCTCACAATGTGGAGTTCTACCTTAACATTGTATCTGAGCGGCTTGGATGCTGCATTAGCTTTTCGGAGTGTGGAGGAATTGAAATTGAAGAGAACTGGGATAAGGTATTCTTCTAGATGTTGATTTATCTAGAATCAGTTTAGCAAAATTCTTAGTCAGGTCATCTTCCTTTCTTGTATTTTCTTAACTCATAGGTCCAAAACTAAGAATAGTTTTAACATTTATCCAGGTCAAGACCATATTTGTTCCAACAGGGACATCTTTCACGTCAGAAGTATGTGCTCCACTTCTGGCAACCCTTCCCTTGGAGGTAACTTTTTTCCAATTGATGGATTCCTGAGCTTTTTCTGCTTCTTTATTTTAGCTTTGGTAGAGTCTTTAGGTACATTCTAGCATTTGGTTCCTTTTCATAAATCAAAGTATGCTTGATCATCATATAGAAGTTCAAAATTTGAACTTGCCTAGCCTAATGCACCACAAACCTAATACATATGAGTGCAACATTAGGCAGTCCATTGAATTACATGATAATCTCCATGAACATTGGCTTTTGTCTTTCAACAAAGATTATGAGTAACTGACACAGAGTATGTCTGTAATAATAGATCAAAAAAGAAATTGAAGAGTACATCAAGGTGATTTTTGCACTATTTCAAGGTATGTCAAATATCAGTTGCTGTGCCAAGTCCAGGTGACTTTACTATTACTTGAAACTTGCCACTAATTTTTAGAAGTTTCTACATTTCAGATCTCGACTTCACTTTCCTAGAGATGAATCCTTTTACATTGATTAATGGAAAGCCTTATCCATTGGATATGAGAGGCGAGCTGGATGACACTGCTGCTTTCAAAAACTTCAAAAAGTATGTTGCTCTCTGTTTTTATTCTTCTAATAGCACAAACAATATGCATGAGGTGTTATGTACTATAGCAGGTTCCACCATCATCCTGTAATGAAACTTCATTTTCTGTAGGTGGGGCAATATTGAATTTCCGATGCCATTTGGCAGATTAATGAACACAACAGAGAGCTTTATTCATGGTTTAGATGAGAAGGTATGCTGAGATTGATAATTGATTGGACCAACATCTGAAATCTTCTTTCAGTTGCTAATGACTTAGTCTAAGGGGAAAATCATGTCATGCATAAGTTTTCTATGGAAATCAAACATGAGGAATAGATAGATCATGTACGTCAGTTCTACTTTTATTAACCACCTTGTATCTAGAGCTCGTTTCCGCTTTCTCTGATTACCCTGTGGAAACTTGACGCCATGTGGAAATTGACACTTCTAATTTCTAAGTATTCAACTTGAATTGCTAGTTAAGTTTTAATGGTCAATTCATCTCTATTGTTGATGAACTAGGAAGTATTTTCTATATGTTTTGTAAATGGCGTTGCCATATGCTAAAGAGTTACATCCACAAGGATCTTATTAACTTCCTGTTCTGTTTAAAATTTTTCTTTCAGACGACTGCATCTTTGAAATTTACAGTGCTGAACCCTAAGGGACGCATCTGGACTATGGTAGCAGGAGGAGGTGCAAGTGTCATTTATGCAGATACAGTATGTTATCTTTTGTCAATACTCTTGGTTTTCTGAACTTGATTACAAGGCCCAATAATTAACTCTTGGTCAGGCATTTAACTTACTCATTCACCAATTAGGTAGGAGATCTTGGCTATGCTTCCGAGCTTGGGAACTATGCAGAATATAGTGGAGCACCTAAAGAAGAGGAGGTGTTGCAGTATGCTAGAGTTGTAATTGATGTAAGGCTCATCTCTGTTCTTGGTTATGTTACTAAAGTACAAATATTACACTTCTAGAGTTTTAATTGACCATCCAATTAATACTGTCTAACATACTCCATGTCTCAAATATTTGTTAGATAGCAGCAAAACAAAACACACAATTGGCCATGCTAAAATGAGCATTAGGATTTAGATGCAGTTTGGATGCTTGCGTATACATTCTTAGGATGATTTATTTATTTGATTTTGACTGTACAAATAATTTCACCATCCCTTTACAGTGTGCAACTAAAGATCCTGATGGTCGCAAGAGAGCCCTTGTTGTTGGTGGAGGAATAGCTAACTTTACCGATGTTGCTGCTACATTCAATGGCATAATTCAAGCCTTGAAGGAGAAAGTGAGGCTACCCTCGTTCCATTTGCTTAATCTCTTCTCTTCTTCTTTTGATAACACTAACTAAAAATGGGGAAAATTTTTCAGGAATCAAAGCTTAAGGCAGCAAGGATGAACATATATGTGAGGAGAGGAGGTCCTAATTACGAGAGGGGCCTGGCCAAAATGCGATCTCTTGGAGAGGAGATTGGTATCCCTATTGAGGTACTTTACCATATGAAAGTACACTTTAATATTAGACATGAATCTTCATTTCTTTATTTATTACTATCAGAAACAACTAAAATAAAAGTCATGGCTTAACTTCTTTGGTTCTCTTGTGTAGGTTTATGGTCCAGAAGCAACAATGACTGGCATATGCAAGCAGGCTATTGAGTGCATTACTGCAGCTGCATAAGTTGCTTGATATCAATCTTTGATTGTCTTTCATGTTTCCTCCTATGCTGGAAATTTTCAGTAGTTTCTAGTTCTGATTAAACTATACCAGAAACCTCAGGAAAATGTTAGTTTGTATTAATGAAACCACATCTGCAATGGTTACTGAGAACAGTCATGTAATCTAGGACAGATGGTATTGTCAAACATAATAAAGAGCTCAGAATGTTTGTTCATCTGTGATTAAGGTGTTGTGTGTAAAACTTTTCCAAGCAAAGACTGAAGTTGTGTTTGGGGTTACAATTCTACAGTACTTTTTCACATGGTCGCTCGTTAAAAATATTAAATTATTATAATTAAATTAATATTTTAAATAATTTAATAATTATATTCATATATGACACATTTTTTTAAATAACTATTATTAATATAATTATTAAATAACAATACAATTTTTATGATAATAAAATACTCAAAAAGTTACTGTAACATCACTTCATTGCAATTCTAAATGAAGCCAAAGTCCTTTATACATTATTAACGAGGGTTGGATCAATTGGTAAGTGGTTTGTTCCAACTTAAACAAAATCTCGAATTCGAAACCTTGTGAACGGAGCAGCCATCGCTGGGAGACTTACCACAGCAGTCTTCACTGGGAGACTCACTCACCATTTCCAAGTGCGCGACGTGAGTCGGGTTCGGAATAGTCGGGGCAAAGCTCCGAATACTGGGCAGGAAACCGAAAAAAAAAAAAAAAAAAAAAGGTCCTTTATACATCTCACCCATCGATATTCAAGAAGACCGACGACATTTGAACCCATGATTTTAGATTGGCTTAAAGAAATCCTTAGGGCCTAACCCAAATTTCAAGCAGAAGAGAACCGGCAACACCCACCTAATCGATGATGTGCAGATAACCCATGATTTTAAAGAAATCTTAAAATTAAAATTTTAAACTTTATTTACCAAAGCACACATTCTGAACAGTTGATCTCACCTTCAGGTTAACTACTAATCCTTCTATTCCACATCTGCATTGACCCAGACCCCCCATGTCCTCTCTTTGTCCTATAGCAAGCAGCTTCCTGGAAGTTTCTAAAATTTTTCATCACTTAAACTCAATTAAGCAGTCGTGTTCTTCGGCACGCCAACTTTAGCAGACCAATCTCAAGGAAACGTCAGCTTAATAGTCTGGTTCTGTTAGGTCAGCAATCTAAGTAGAAAACCGGTGCTGCTTTTTTGTCTTAAACACTTCCCTTAACTCATCATTAAATAAATTACTTAAAATTGAGGCAGCAAATTAGTTTACCGATCCGGGCCTTACCATTTGGCAAAAGTCGCCGGCGGCCTGCCTAACTTGTTGATACTGCACACTGAAGAAGACAATATTCAAATTTCTCATCTGCAATTAACGTGTGGTTCAAAAACGACCCGTCAAGTTCATAGAAAATTTTGAAAGGAAGAAATTTCTTATATATAGGATGTGATTTAAGAAGATAACACATACATAATTTTATCTGACCATAATGTTTCATACCAGTAATTTTAATTCGGTGAAAGGACGATACAATCATACAACAAAAAAAACATATTATTTATTTATTTATTTTTATTTGATTATGAATTATACAAAAAAGATAATTTTTCTTATTACCAAATCTTTTTTTTATTTTTAAATTCCTCTCGCACTTAATTTAAGATTTAAATTTGAAAATTTTAATTTAAAATGCTTAATTTTTGGGTTATTTCCATTGGAGTTACAAAAATATAAAAAAATACTACTACAATTTATTTTTTAAGTTACTAGTTTCTTCAAGGTCATTGCCATTTTCCAATTTGGCGGCTCTTTCAACAGAAAATATCCCAAAAAGGGTTGGTGAGAACTGACCAGGGGAGGAAGATAATGAAGTGGATTTAGTTGATTGCACTGACTGGGTGTGAGATGGTTTTTCTTTTGGTGCAAATAGAAATTTCTTAGATATATCAAAACAAAACAGACATAAAATAAACCCAAACAAACTTGGGTTATGAGATAAAATAACTCCACTGGGGAGAGAATCAAGGACAACCGGAAATGGAGATTCCGGTGGAATCGACATGGCTTGGATCATCACCTATCCCATTGGACAGCTTCTTGCTATGCTTGCTCTTTTTAGGAAAGAATGCCTACGTTGGTTTTTCACATTGAAATTTGGATTCAATGGGGGCTTGACTTTAACTGAATATTTATTCGCACCGCGGTTCGCGGTCAGCGTAGCTACGCCGGCACCTTATTCTAGTCAGGAACGGTGGTTCAGCAAAATTTAAGAGGGACCAATTTTTTTTTTTTTATCACATCCAAAAATAATAATATAATTATAATACATATAATATAAGAAATGACTCAATATGAAATATAATATTATAAAGTTAAAATATTTTTCTGCATAAAGTATAGGAGTTAATAGGGTAAATTTAAACTAACAATGAAAAATATGGAGTTATTTTAGTTTATAATGCCATGAAATAAAGTTGTTATAAAATTTTATATTATAATTTAATAAAAATAAAATAAAATAATTTATTAACATAAATATGTCACTATAAAATTAAATTATTTTATTTATAGTGTGAGCATGATAGAAAATTTATAAATTATATATATTGGATATCTTCAAAAAGTAAGATATTAAAATTGTTCTTCTATCAAAAATTTAAATTATTTAATTATTTAAAAAATTAAGAGTGTACAATATAAAATTAAAGAAAAATAAAAAGAAATTAAGTAAAGGAAGTTTTAATTAGCAACAAAGTATGACTATCTATCGTGAAAAGAAGAATAATTGAAAGAACGAGTAGCGTTTAGATATAGAAATTTTAGGTTTAGTTAAGGATTTTAAAACTGTTTTTATGATATTCTTTTAAAAAATAGATGTTTTATAGGATTTTTTTAATTATATTCATAAAAAAAAAAACAAAAACAAAAACAAAAGCATTTCATAAGCCTATTTCCTTTTATTTCAAATAAATCTTAATATTAAACTTAGACTCTTAAATTTTGTAGTAAAATTTTCAAACTATATATTTACTTATTTATTTATGTATATTAGTTTTTTTTATTAATTTTTATTAAAATACTTTAAAATATATTAATTTTATCCGAGAGCTTATTATCCTCCGTAACTGATTCTAGTATGTCATTTTTTTTCCTTTTCTTTTTCCTTTTTTATTACTACAAATAGTCCCCTTTTTTTTTAATTTATATCAGTTATATGAAAAATAATAATTTTTTTTATTTTTAAAAAATTTCCCATTTAACTTAAAGTTTAAATAAAAAATTTTTAAATAAAAAATCTCACTATTATAACCAGTTAAGCCATCTACACAAATCAATGCTCTTTAACTAATTAATTAATGAGGATTATAAAATATAGTTCTTACAAAAAAAAAAATTTGTGGACTTTGATGCGGATTACATGTAAGTGCAAAATATGGACTCTGTTAGATATCACAAGTATCCTGTGGGGGCAAATTTTCCTAATTTAATAGTTTGTGTTTTATACCTAATAGTTGAATTAGCTAATAAGTAAATATCATATTTTAGATCATGTTTAAAATTTAAATTTTGAAGATAATTTTTTTTAAAAACATCAAACCGATGTGAGATTATGTCCTTAAAACCACTCAAGAAAATATTAATTTTAAAATATATAAAAGTTGACTTGAAATTATCACAATTGTAAATATCATAAAGGCAATAAAAACATAGTTTGTGTTTACATTTTTGGTATAATCACAAAATACTAAACTATAAAATTTAAATAAATAATAAAAACTAAAAAAAAAGTATTAATTTTTTTTATCTCCTAAAAATTATGAACAAAATTGATTTAGAATTACGTTATTTTAATAAATTTTTATTAAAAAGATTAAAACACTTATTTTTAAAATAAAAATTATACTATATTTAATCTTCTCTCATAATATTTTATTAAAATAATATAATTTTAAAATATTTTTTTAATTTTTTAAAAATAAAATGGATAGACATTAATTTTATAAAAATATATATAAGGTAAGCTCAAAATATATATATGGTATATAATTTTTGCTTCCCGTCTAAGCATGTAATTAATTGCTCTTTTTAAATTGATTTTTATTTCTTTATTTTTTATAATAAATATTTTTATTTAATTTAACTATATTATTTATTTTTTTATTTTAACTAATTATTTCATCACAAAAAATTTAACTTTTTTTTAATTTTTATTTGTAATAACATAAATAAATATATAAATTATTTTAAAATTTTAAAAATAATTATTTTAAAATAAAATGGTTTGTAGTATTTTTATTAAAGAAATAATTAGTACTTTAGTAGTAATTTATTTAGAATTTTTTTTTTCCGTGTTGCACGATAAAATGTATTGTACAATATTCAAAAGTACTGAAGAACCTAGAATATTACCAAAAAAGAAGAACCTAGAAAAGGACAATAGTAGGGACACTCGCCAGCTGCACTCTCCAACCTACACTTCCATTTTCATTGGGCCACGTTATTTTGGCTTGGTAGAGGTCATCATTTCGTAGCTAAATAACAGAGTAAAGGGTAAAGGTGTAAATAAGAATTTTAATTTTATATTTTTTTATTTAAAAATATTAATTTTATTATTTTTTAAATAAAAATAAAAATATTAATTTTTAATTTTTTTAATTTAAAATTTTCAATTTTTAACTTTTTATTTAAAAATATTAATTTTTAAGTTAATTTTAATCTATTAAATAATAAATCTAAATTATTTTATCAATTAATTATTTTTAACAATCAATTTAAATATAACCATAACTAATGAGTAACTATAAGTGCACCTACTTGGGGGTGTACCCTAAACATTTAATTGAAACAGATCATATCAAGGTAAGTAAAACCATGAAATTACGCAATAGATATGAAATACGCATGCAGTCAAATAATCGTCTTAATTTTCATTCGAGTTTGATTGTTATCAATAAGGCAATAACCGTCTCACCTTCCCAATATTTTAACCCATTGACCACAGAAGGAACACAAACCTGAAACGATTTTCTGCCTGAGTGACTACAATTTTTTCTCCTCATTGACTCAAGCAAATATAATGGTTTCTCAGAGCTTCTTATGGTCCTTAAAACTTTACCAGAGAACTACTAAATGCAGTTTTCAACATGGACATGGACATTAAAAATTGCAAGAGTGTACTAGACTAGGGCTTCACATGTTCTCTGATAAATTGCTCCACCTGAGCAACCTCGCCTGTCAAACCAGAAGCTTCAGCAACGGAAACTTTGTTGTTGCATTGGGAGAAAGCAAAGGCTTCTCCAGGTACACCTAGAGTGAAGTCGTTTGCAATATCAGCATCAGACAATGCACTTCTTGATGCCCGCAGTTTGTCACTGTAAAACAATAATGAAAAAATAAATCAACACAATAGACAAATGTAAAAAGAATACATGCTTTACATAATGAAGATGGATCACATATTGCACGGCCAAGAATATTAAGAAATCAGCAAATCAAATAGAAATGGGTATCACATAGGTTTCCTTAGGATAATAACCAAATATGTGTCTGGTCATTGATATTGGGCAACAAAGCAACTAATCAGAAGAACTTGAGGCCATACATTTCCTTCTCAATTTGTTTTCTGATGAACTCCTTGGTATGTGCTGTCACTTTGTCAGTTTTGTTACAGCAGATGAGAACTGGAATTTTCTTTTTAACCACACTTGCATTGGTCAAAATATCATAGAGGTACCTGTTGCAGAAAAGTAATTAATTTTGTAAGTAATACATCTAGAGAGAGTTTTGGCTGTTAATGTGTTTGTGAAAAAAAAATAATAACAAAAAAACTAGAAAGTTTAGGTAATCTTACTCCGAAGCTAAACGGCAGTTTGGTAAGAATTCCAAAGCATCTACAACAAAAACTATGCCAGCTGCTTGAGGTAAAAACTCATCTAACTTGGGTCGGAGACGAGAATGGCCAGGAACATCAACTAGATGAACAGGTTTGATTTTGCCCTTCTGTCAAGGAGATGACAATAGAATAAATGAGAGATAGGCATCAATTCAAATTACGACAATGATGCAAAAGTCAACTCATTGATGATGACTGAAAGATGTAACTAATGCATATTCACATTTAGGAAGTGAATTGAGTAAGTAGGATGCCATGTTAATTGTTAAGGTGAGTCACCTTAGAGCTTTCAGAATGTAGGACAAAAGTGCCTTCGTTTGTTTCCATTGATGTGACAGTACCGAGATGTGAAGACCCATCCTGAAGCTGAATACAGGCATCAAACATGTCAAATCATCTTTAAGTTTCTATGTGCACGTAAAGTCATGCAATTGATGCTACAATTCAGAACTGCCATGTAGGCAAAACCCTATTAAGAAATTTAAAGGCGAGTGATTGCTGTATTATCATCACCTTCTTCACATTAACACATTTTATGCTAAAAAATAAAAAACAACCAATAACTGCAATATTCACTTGATAAGCCATTGTCATCACCTACTTCACATTAGCCCATTTTATGCCAATATTTTCAAAAAGAAAAAAACAAAACAACAAATAATTACACTCACTTGATAAAAAAGAGTTGTTTTTCCACTCCCAGTAAGGCCAGTGAGTACGATGGTGTTAGATTTTGTGCGCTTGAACAAGCGAACTGCAAGTGAAAGAATAATACAATGATAAGGAAGAAGAACTCAAAACATTAAAGTAAAAATTCAGAACACTAGATTGCCTTATAAGATATCGCAACGAAAAGGGACATCTGCATAAATAGGAATTCAAGATATTAATAAAACAGATCTCCAATTCAAGGATCGCAACCTGTAGTGGTCAAATTCAAGTCTCCAACTTTAAGTCTTTCCTAAACATGCAGTTAGTTCATCACTTTGACTAAAAGCAATTGTCTGGTTAAACACTCAACCCAAATTAGTCATTTTTAAAATTGCAAACTTCAACTCAATTCTACCTTGAAAAACAGAATTCTTGCTTTTCGAACATCGAGGCATAACTAGATGAAAAGGAAAAAAATAACAATTGAGGCATTACAAAGAATTCTAGGGGTGAACATTTACAAACTGATAGGGACTTACTGGAGATAACCAAAAGGGTAGTTACAACCAAGACAGCAATTGCAATGTACAGCTGAGTTGGGGGTATTTGCTGCGAATATTCAATTGCTTGATGCAGCCATTGCTCCAACTGATTCCTCCACACCTCCACTTGCTCTTTCCACGGTTCCATCCCTTCCATGGCCTGAATTTCAGCTTCTACGAGATACCAAACCTTATAAAAAAAAAAAACCCAAACTTTATCACAAACCCAGATCAAACAAACCCATCATCTGCAGAATTGACGATGAATTTGCCAAAAAGGACAAGATTTCAACCCAAATCTAGCCCAACCTTATGATAATTCGGAAACGAAGCTAGAAGGGGCTTCTCTGGAGCTGAATTGAGAAATATATGGTGCTGAATTTATTACAGAGCAAAGTTTGCGAGATGAAGCTAACCCTAAATGCAGCCAAAAGAATCCAATTTCACATGCAGAGATGGTGGAGGTGAAGAAGGCTGACCTGGGTTTGTCTCCTACTTCATGGAGCGAGATTTCTTCCAGCTATGGTCGTCTTCAAAATCTAGAGATCAAGATGGAATCGAACCCAACAGCAAGATTCAAGAAAGCCCTAAAAATTGAAATTGATCCAGTTCCAGATGGTTCCAAGACAAATCGGAATTTTTTTACAAAGCCCAAAAACTGTAAGCCCAGTACACATTAATCAGCCCTCAAAGTTTGCCCCAAGTTTCTATTAACCCCCAAAAGTATTTTTTTAAAGTCAATCTCCAATAAATCTCTATATTTGCCAACACTTAAGACATTTTAATGATAAATTTTTTCAATAAAAGTAAACACTATTGAATTTGAGTTGTAATGATGCAGGTGAGGAGGGTGAAGGGTGAGAGAGCTATATTTCTCAAAATCAAAATAATAATAATAACAAAAAATCATTTTATAATATAAAATAATTTAACACATAAGACAAAATTCGTTAATAACAATAATAAATCCCTATATTTCTTTATAGTGCTCAAATGCCTTTTTTTTAAAAAAAAAATTTTTGGGTGGGAGGAGACCTAATAAGCTCTCCAATTTTTACTCCAAATATGAACTTAAGTCATCGAAGAATTTTGTGAGTGGGAGAGATTGAAAATGGCCTCATGATTATTCTCCATGCCAAGCCACAATCAGGTGAGAAACGAAGGCAAAAAACAAGGTTGAAAATCCATTCTTTAATAACGCATAAAATGGAGGAGTTGACTAAGCAGCCGTGATGCCCAATTGGTACACTCCACATTTTAGGTGTTTGTGTTTGTGGTCATTGACTCATTGGTTGGGTGTTTCGTAGTATTTGGAGAAATTCTTTGATTTTCATTTTTCCACAATTTCCCATGTTCCAATAAAGTAACGGAGGACTTGACCATAATCGTTTTTTTTTTTATTTTTGGACAGAGGGAATGATTAGATTAATAATTTAGTATTTATTGTGAGAGAAAACAAAACTGAAATTAAGAATGCATTTCATCGTTATTTTTTTGAGCAACAATGGTTATTATTGGGCCACAACAAGGGAATATTGACCATATCCATTTTTATTTGTCAATTTGTGAATAAAGAATTAATAGAAAGAGAATGTTGTTGGGCATGGATGGAGTCATTGCCTCTTAATGTCATATAGAATAAATTATAATTTATTTTTTAAATTTATTTAATTTATGTTTTTAAAAATATAATAAATATATTTTTTATAATTAATTTATATAAAAAATAATA